AATCACACTTTTTAAGTTTTGTCAATGTGTGGGTCATTTTTAATCACACTCCCATATGTCATTAAAAGATGATTCCATCACACTTTTCGTGTGTGATAACAAATATTTAGATCACATTTTTTAAGTGTGATTAATAACTAATAAAACATATAATAAACAACCCTTGGATCAAATTTTTTAAGTGTGATTAATAATACTTAGATCACATCTTTTAAATGTGATTAATAACTAATAAAACCTGTGATAATAAATATTTAGATCACTGATTTTAAGTGTGATTAATACCTAATAAAACCTGTGATTAATAATGAGATAAGTTTACACGCTTTATGTATTTCTCATCACAGTTAATGCATGTCACAAAAAAAGGGTTTGACATATTTGAAAAATAATCAATGTTATTTTTATACGCACATTTGAAGAATGTAATACACACTATATACTATACTTTGAATCACAACCACATATTGAATGGAATAACGTCATATATTTCATAAATGAAAATTAAATGTTCAAAAGTATACACAAAGGAATTAAATAAAAAGTTTTTAACTGTGCTTATATATATTAAAAAATGAAAAAACTTGAAAAACTAAGTTCTTTTATTCTTTGGCCATATTTTGCATCTCTCCAAGAAATTTCTGACCTGAAAAATGAAAACACAAAATTAATTAAAAATCGGCTAGAAGCATATGAATAAACTAACTATTAGTAGAGACTGTTCTAGTCTTACAAAAGATAAAGTCGGACATTTTCTTATCACACTGACTCTTCATCTCCTGAATCAATAGAAAAGAATAACCACTTTGATTGTTACTAATATAAATGTTGGGATTACCATATAGATATGACATATACATAGAATCAATAAATCCAAAATGAAAATCTTAAATGCATGGCCAAAATCTTAAAGGAAAACAACCTCTCAACCAGCAGCTAAACAAGAAGGTTACAAGAATACTGTACCTAGACTAAATCACAAATCACATAATGCAACACTTTAACATAAATCCAATAGGCAAAGCACATTAAAACCCTATGATACCTGGGCGCAGGAATAAGTATTGGGTGTTGGTGCATGTCCAAGCATCAAATCTTCCTAAATCTGAAAATCTCAAGATATTGGGATATGAATCCAAAAGTTGGGTATAAGTACAGGGACAGGTCATAAGCACTTGAATGTATTGGATATTATAAAATATTCTTAAATAAGATGATGTAAATTATTTTAAAATGTAAATGAGATTTAGGAGAAAATATGGAATTTATACCTCATATTTGTGTGAGAAGCTAATACTAGCAAATGTGAGCATCTTTTTCTTCAAAATCATATAAAAAGTATCTAAATTAAGTACGGGTGTCAAACTCATGTTCCATACCCTTATCATAATTGGTGGACACAGGTACAATAAGAGAAATAAAAGAGTCCGTGTAACATAGCTGAAATCCACGACCTTATCTCAAGGCTTTCAGAATCATGGCTTTTCACAAATGGAAGAAAGGTCATTTATGGGGGTAATCAAACAAGGACATAGCTTCTCCCTTACCTCCCATAGGTACAATGCATCTACGAATGACAAGTCTCTCCGGAAAAATACCATTAGCATACGGAGCGCAAACAGATAGTCCCCACCACCTAGTTCCTCTGCCAAAAATATAAATAAGAAATTAGTTAATAAACAAGGCCTATTTTCATGCACAAAGAAAGAGAGTATATTCACTATCTATTGCTACACATTCTTTTCATGAATTGTGCATTTCTTCTCTCTTTTCCTTTTCCTAAATTTACGAGCAGAGGATGTAATCCACAAAGCAGCAAAAGGTTGTCCTGGCATCATAACTCGAGAGTTCAGTTATCAAGTTCTCTTGTGCTGATGTTATTTGGGCTTTACTCATATTTCTCCTCTACAAAAGAACTTGTGTCTTAACAAACTATATGGAGTCAAATTCTACACTCATATATTAGCTATGCCATAAAGACGTCAGATACAAAATTATCTATTTTTGAAACATGAATTATAGTAGATTCTTTAGCCCCTTACCTCCGTGGAGGAAAAATCGGATTATTCAAGGGAGCTGGGTGGGGTAAATATTGCCAAAGCTCATGAACTGAGGTTTTCATCTCCAACATCACTAATGCTAAACTAGAATCATAATTACCTGCGGCCCACCCTCTATTGTTTACAAAGGCAAAGGTCATTTTAACAACTGCATAATACACAACAGAAGCTTCCAAAAATAAACAAGGGAAAATATCAAATTAGACCTATTTTTCATGAAATATTATGGGAAAATAAGGATTTATTAGAAAATTCACAATAAATAAACAGATAAAAATAGAAAAAAAAAAAAAAGGATGCATATGCCAACACAATCAAGACCTACTATATGAAGGTAAAGAAGAAGGAATGATTACATGAGCAATTGAATGCTTCAACATCTGATCACATTGCAAGACAACAGTGTAAAGCTAAAGAAAAATTTGTCATGAATATAGGACCTAATAACAGCAAAATATCTCAAAATGTAAGGGGAGAAGTGAAAATTAGATAAAATGGGTCATTTCAGGTAGAAAAAGCTGCTCCATTTATGTGACGTGCACTATTATATGGAAGGCCATCATGGCAAATATACATGGAAGTGGAATTGAAAAAATTACATCCATCTATATGTGCACAAAAATAGTTTCAGAGTTCAATGCTAGAAGCACAGGATACTGATACAGTATAAAGTAAGGATGCAGATCCAAATTGAAGCCTATTACTCAATTCTGATGTGAGTGTTCTTCAAAGGTCACGTTTTGTAGCACTTATAAGCCAACTTATTTAGCTTATTTGCTTTAAATAAAAAAAATAATAATTAAATAATAGTGTTCAGATGCAATTTTAAATTTTTTAATCACACTACTAATAAAAGTGAGATATTTTTAATTCCTCTTGTGTGATCTTTAATCATATGTTAATTGAAAGATGTGATTAAAATATATATATATATATATATTCACACTTATTTGAAAAGTGACATAAAAAATAAATATTATCACACTTAATCAAATCAAGAGATTGTTTAGGATGAACTATATAAGTGTACTTTTTGACTTTTTAGATAAAAAAGTAGAGGAAAAAATATGATTATTTTGGATAATTTTTTAACTTTTTACGAAAAAATGTATATTAAAATATTATATAAAATAGCAAAATTATTAATTCACCCATCTGAGTACTGACTTGCACATGCATGTCAATACGGTTGTGCAAGCTTTTTGAATTTTTTTTTCAACAATGATTCATCCCACTAAAAATATCACCACTAATAGCACTAATGCATTAAAAAAGTAAAAAAAAAAAAAATACTACTCCAAGACCAAAACATCACATCATTAATGGCGGGACCCACTGCCACCTAATTAGTGGGAACACTAATTAGTGCTCCCAAACATTTTTCTTTTTTTTTTTGGCAGAGGAACGAACAGATATAAGGGCAAATTTGTTTTTTGCGTGTGACTAGTGAATCTTTTTTCCGCCCCAAAAAAATGTGAACAGTATAAATTTTTTTACTTTTGTAGTAACTTTTTATCTTTTTTAGGTTAACCTAAACACCTACCAAGTGTGATTAAAATATCAATCTAATTTTTTTATCACACTTTGGATAAAAGTGATATATTTTCATTTGTTAAAGTGTGATCTTTAACGGTTTTTGTAGTAGTGAGCCAAAAAATTGGTTTTTAAACCAGCTTGCCAAAATGGCCCTTGTGAGAAAAAAAATAAAATGATTATGGTTTGGACGTAACATTTTGTCTTATTATTTTTTAGTGGTTCTTTGGGATGTGCTATATAAGTGCACTTTTTGAATTTTTAGCTAAAAAAATAGAGAAAAAAAAATGTATGTTTGGTATATAATTTTTTAACTTTTTACGAAAAGATGTGTAATAAAATATTGTAGTAAAAGAAAAATGACCATTCTACTCTTTTAACTTTTTAACTTGACTTTTGGGTTGTTGAATTCAAAGGACAAAATAAGCTTCTCCTAAATAGTATGAACTTTTTAATTTTTTTAATAACTTTTTAGTTTTTATAGTTTATGCCAACCATCTTCTTATTTGTCTTTTTGTGATTATTTTAACCCATGCTTTTTATGCCAAACATAGCCGGAGAGAAAACATGACATTTGGATTGAATCAGTGAAATTTTGAAGTTGTACATTTGCATATTCTATGCTATGCTTAACTCTGTTTTGTTTGAAAGATTGAAAGTTTGAATCTTAACATGCATATAAAGATGCAAATCAGAGAAAATTGTGAGTAAATCAAAAAAAATTCAAATCAGATAAATTTCAAAACACAGAGAAAATTGTAAGTAATTTGTTTGAAAACACAGAAAATTAGAGAAATTTCAGACAAATTTCTTTGTATTTCAAAATTTCTCTAGTTTGAAACACACAGATAAAATCAAACAAATTTCTTTGTGTTTTGAAATTTTTTTGAATCGAAATTTTTTGGAAAAAATGTTGAGGGACCCAACCATTATGAAAATATTACATATCATTTATCCGTTAAAATTAATATCATGAATCTTAAAAAAAGGGGTTTTTATTGATAAGTCCAATTTAAAAGTGTTTTAACCCAAGAAGTCCATGAAGGAATTTTTTAAATTCCCCTTTATAAATTGTATTAGAAAGTGTTTTTTTTTTTCAAAATGCCTTTTTTTTTTTTAAAGAAAAAACTAGAACTTATTTTTCAAATCTTCAAAAATATTTTCACATAAAAATAAGAGAGAGTTTTAAAAAAAATGGTGTAGACAAAAAATAATTTTAAAATAATAAAAGTACAAGTAATTTATATATAAATTTATGTAATTAAATTTTATACTATTATCATTTAAATTTTTTTTTTACCCTTCATTTTTTTTTAAAATTATCCCTAAAAATAAAAACAGAATATATGAAAACAAAAGAGTTTTTTCAAATGTTTTATTTTTAAAAACACAAAAAGCAAAAACAAAAGTAAAAAAGCCAAAAAGCGAAGAGAAGTATCAAATTGGCTCCTTCTTCCTCCATGACCGAAAGCACATCCATAGCTACTCTCTGAAGTCTTGGACCCAACCACTGTACTTATGCAAGCACTACTGTTGCCGGCGGTTCGCTCCGGCGGCGCTCCACCAGCTCCGCCGTCGTCAGCGGCGGCGAATCCCTTACTGCGTTACCTTCGCCGCTCCCCCCGAGTAACCCCCTCCTTCAATCACACCCCTAGGCTCCCTTCTCTTCCCTACTCATTTTCTCTCTCTTCCCTAAAACCTCCCCAAAATCTCTCTTCTTCATCTACATCTCTATCTTCGTCTTTTGTTTCAGTCAGTAACAGAACAACAACACCTCTGGCCTCTGCACCCATTTCTACTGCTTACACTTCCCCAGTTGACGACCCCGAAAAGGCTGCCAAACTAGCTCAGGTTCTCTCTCTCTCTCTATATATATATATATATGAATGAAGTTAATGAGTTAATTCTTAATTAGATGTGAACTTGAAGAACAATTGTGAATTGAATTGTCTGTTAGGTTTTTTCAGTCCGCGATAGATGAAATTACAGTGCATTGTATGTATGATATTAATTTGGAATTAAGAACTTTTTTTTCTTGGTGGTCGCAACGAATCAACTAGTAAAAATTTGAAATTTTGATTGAATTTGGTTTTTTGAGCAATTTTATTTTCTAAGTCTGTCCTAGATGTGTTGAGATTGCAATGCTTGAGCAATGTTTGTTCCAAGTGGAAAGCTACTAGTCAATAATGTTAATATAAATTTCAGAACATAAACCTTACACTTTGGATCATTTACTATGTGTATTATCAAGAAATCAAGACAAAATGACATACCTGAATCCATTGATGAACGGTTAAACGGAAGCGTGATTATCAATGAACTCTTTGTTAATGATTATGTTATTGCCTTCTAATCATTTCCCCTTTGGTGCCTTATGTTTTTCCTTGAGAGGATTTAGAAAAAAAATGGCAGTGTTCTTATTTCCCCCTGGGAAGGAATAGGGACCATAACCTTTTAAAGGTTGTAATTGGTTTTCAAAACTGAAAGGTTGTGGAAGTTCAAAAGGAATGAAAACCAACTTTAACCAATATGTTTTAATTTCTATTTCTGCTCCTCATAGAAATAGAAATTATACAACTAGTATCTACACATTAGGTCCATAACACATATACCCTTAAGCCTATTAACTAAATTGAATCACTTAAATTGTAGGCTTCTTATAAATGATAACACCACATTTAATTATGTGGTCCCATTGAGACATTATCTAACAAATAAAAGTTTAAGAAGTTTTTTGTGATGCAATTAGTGAGTTAATTCTTACATGATGGTAGTTAATTGAAGAAATAAGGGATTTTGAATGTGTTATGTGATTGCCATTGAGGATTGTGGTTTCAATTTTGACGCAGGTTTCAAAGAGGCTAGAGAGTACTTCGAGGTACTTCAAGAGGTTGGGTAGTTTAGGGTTTTGGGGACAGCTAGTGTGCACAGTTGTGGCCGCTGTGATCCTTTCATTTTCTGTTGTTTCCATGGGGAAGATCACTTCGCCTGCTACATTTTATGCTACTGCTGGCGGAATTGCAGCCGCATTCATTTCAGTGTTTTGGTCGTTTGGGTATATCCGTCTGTCTGATAAGCTCCGAAGAACTGCTAATGAGCCTTCAAAGGTAATTTCTCAAAGTTTTCTCAGTTTCCAGTATAAACAAAACTAAGATTTTCTTATGTGGTTTTGCAGTTTAGTTGCATCACTCTTCTGTTTTTTAATGTTTAAATTGTATTCAACGTAAAAGTGAAAGAACAATTCACTTCTAATGAAGTTGCAAATGCCTTGTAAGATGTTCTGTTTTCCATTGGACATTACTGTATCAATTTGCAAATTTTTGTATGTTATTTCATTCGCATGTGTACGACTATGGTTGCCAGATTTCACAATTCTTGACATTGATCATCTATCAGGGCAGCACGAGTCCATTGTTTTGGATCATAGTCATACCTTTGAGAATTGCAACAGTTATTGTCTAATAGAATCCCATGTGTAATGTGGCAGAAATAATACATGTGGATGCACCATGCTACTACTATTCTATTTAAAGGAAAAATTGTATGTTGTATGTTCATAGATTACAACAGTAGCTCGTGTACTAAATATATATGAGGGTTTTTTAACCTGTAGCAACCCTTGTGTTATTTTACATGCTTAATATTGTGGAGGAGAAGCTCTTGGATTGAGAAATTTAGACAGGTGATGTTCTGATTCTGAATAGCCAAAGCATCAATAAGGCGACAGAAAATTAGTACTTAAAGGAAGTAAATGTATCATAGCTCATTTAATGGAAGGGAAAGTTTTACACAACAATTACGAGACTATTGTTCCCTAATATGAAGCACGGATACTTCAAAAAGGGAGACGTATCCGTATCGGATACTTATCGGATACCGATACTCCTTGGTTACTCGCGGATACGTATCGTATACTTCTTAAAAGTATCGGATAGTTCTTAATTAATTTTTTATTAATTTTGGAGTATCGGATACTCGAAATTACATATTACCTATAATATTTTGTTTAGTTCTTTGATAAGAGGAATATATAGTGAGAGTTAAAGTAATAGAATTTGTCAAATTGATGTATACTTATTGTCTCTCTCACTTTCTCACTCTCTCATGTTTCTTTTCTCTGCTCTCATTCTTTTTTTGGTGTTGGCATGTAAGGATGATGTTTAATTTGCATTTGCATTTGCATTTACTTTTGTTTTTGCTTTTGCTTTTGCTTTTGCTTTTAGTTTTGCTTTTAGTTTTGGATGTTTTATGAATGTTTGAAGACTTTTAGGTTAATAAGAATCCCTCTCTTTATTTATTAATTTACTTTAAGTTTTATTTTCATGCATATTACATTATTAAAATTATAAAAATATTTTTTTTTACAAACGTATTCCCGCCGTACCCGTATCATACTTTTTCAAATTTTGATGTATCACCATATCCATATCCCCATATCGCCATATCCGTATCTGTATCTGTGCTTCCTAGGTTATCATTGATGACTTAAAAAAGTATATTTGCTTAAATTTATATTTAAGAATGGTTTTTTGGCTTTAGCTAAGGTCCTGTGATATTCACTGATGAAGGGGAACAAATTGAAGCTATTGATCTTGAAGACTCTTAGTTTTATAGAAATATTTCTTCTTTATCAAGTTGTCTTTTGTTTTAGGTTTTATTTTTATGTATACTGCATTACTAAAAATTGTAAAAATAATATTTTTTACGAACGTATCCTCGCCATACCCGTATCCTAGTTTTTCAAATTTTGCCGTATCGCTGTATCCGTATCCCGTATCTATATCTGTGCTTCCTAGTATAGATAGAACATAAGTACATCCATAAAATGTGCATAGTTGAAATGCAAACGGAGTTGTATTTAGCTAGACAAGCAAAGATGAATAGAAATGGACACATTTGTGAGAAGTTGGAAGCGGCACGTGTAGGATAGAAATTGAGAGAAACTGAATAAGTTGGTTTAGCCATTGTATGCAAAGAGTACTATGAGGCATCATAAATGGTGCCCTTAATGGCAAGGGGAAGTCTAAAACCTATGTTCATTGAGGTATCAGTGAAAGATTTGGTGTATGATTCAAACCAAAACTGTGATCTAGATGATGGTGGAATGATACACATGGCTTACCCAGGTGGTTTGGTTAATACCCATATTTCATATATATGATTTGTGGTATCATTCTTTGTTGTTTTTGTCTGTGCAATCTGTGCGCCTTGTAGTTACTTTTTAAATGCATAATTTTATTCTTCAACATAAACAAGCACACATTTAGGTTCTAGTTTGTTAGCCAGCAATGCCAACAATGGGGCATTGGAAACAAAGAAGGGCTGCAGCTCATAAGCTGTTAACAAAGTCCTCTCTGAAATAAACCCACATCTTTATCAAAGACTGCAATTCTAGATAAAATTTCAATGTTCAAACCTTGGTGGATCATTTACAATAATAATATTATGTATTTAGAAAGTGGAGAGAACTGGAACAATTTGATTCCATCATACATATTTAGGACTCAAAACAAGCATGGAATTTTCATTTCCACAGGATTTCTAGAGTATATGGCAAATTTATTTGGGACAAAAGGTTTCATGAAGTAGTTTTTTACTGATCTTTACTTGCCCAATTTCCAACATGTAAGAATGCCAAGTTAATTTTCTTTTCATTTTTTATGTGCTTTTTAGCCTGAGTTTACTTTTATTTATTTATTTTGTTTTTTGTTTCTTTTGATAATAAACAGTGAATGCATGCATTATTTCCTTCTTTCCTCCAATCTTTTTTATCACACTCCAATTATAGGCAAAAATTAATATTTGGTTGCAATGCTTATTTTTCATTGCCCATAAATATAATAAAGTTTTTGTCCGTAAGTATCAAGTATGTTCAGATGCAAGATAATCTTGTGTTTTTAGGCTCCTCCTCGGTCTGATGTTGTGAAAAGCTTGAAAAATGGAATATTAGTGAATCTTCTGGGCATGGGTGCTGCTGTCCTTGGTATGCAAGCCACGGTAGGATTGTTGGTTGCAAAAGCTTTAACTTCTTCGGCCACTCCTTACTACCAGGGCATCTCACCTGGTTACCGCCCTGTTCTGGCATTGGACGTATTCTTGGTGCAGGTATTTATCTATTCCCCAACTTTTCAATAATCAACTTTTTTCAGCTTCTCAAGGTATTTTTGCCTTAAAAAAGTTATAAACAGCCACAATAAGTTTTACCAAACATGGTGTGACAAACGTCAAGTGCATAAAATAGTCGACAGAAAAAATCTTATCCTCTGAGTTTAGCAATTGAATTTAGAAATGTTGAAAGGACTATATGCTCCTCTGGGAGGTTGATTATTTGATAGCAATAATTTTAAGGCAAAAGTAGCCTCAATTTGGGGAAAACCTATCCTAGTTAGCATGGTAGTTTATTTTATTGTTTTATGTTCTAACCCATCTATTTTTTTTCAGGCATCGGCAAACACTATCCTTTCTCATTTCTTAGGGCTTGTTTTCTCACTGGAGCTGTTACGGTCAGTGACTTTACCAGCATCAGAAAGCATTCCAGTTCCAAAGACTGCATAGCCCTGCTCAAATGAACAGTAAACATATACTAGTTTGAGAATTTCCGGAGAAGATTCAGGTGCGTTCACATTTCTGCATAAGATTGTTACAAACTTCGAGCTGTTTATTTTGTCCTATGATTTTACAGCGCTGTCTCCCGGTTCAGTGTAACACAAATTTATGACTGACTGAATTTTCCGTGAAAGCAATGACCAAAATTACATTATTCATTTCCAGGGACAAAATCAAGAATGAGAATCACACCTTTTTTTTGGGCCAGTTTGTGACCACTTACTAAGAATGGGATTCACTGTGGTGGTTCATGGAGAAAAATTCATTGCAACGGTTTGAAGACGGAAAGGATAGAATTGGGTGGGGGTGATGTTCATGATAAGAGTTGTGTTTTTATTGTGTATTTAATTTGGGGGGTTTTAGTGATTTTTCTCAAGGGTATTTTTGTCGTTGCCATTGAAACGTTAAACATAGTTGGGTCGACATTTTCTAATAACGTTAGAATTCTCAGGAGAGTTCTAAAAGGAATTGAATTTTCCATATTTATTTTGATGGTTCAAATAATTTTGTTGAGAATAACATTATGTAGAAAAATAATAATTTAATTGGACAAATGTGGGTTGATCGAGTCCAACTGCAGCTCACCATATGGATGTCAAATTAGAGAGAATTTTTTAGTTTCCAATTGTCACATTACAAATTCACATATATATCATACATTTTAACAAATTTTTTTGCACATCTAATGAAGCTAATGGTAATTTTATAGGCAGACATTAATATTTTTAAAAATCAAATGGTTACTATTTTGCTAATTAAAATTGGTATACAAAAAACAGATGTTAAAAAGTCCAATCCCCAAATTTCTTGGGTGGAATTTGGAAATTGCTTTTTAGCAGTTTCTTTGTTGGTTTTTTTGTTTTTCATTTTTGGTGTACAGTTAGAAAAAAATTTAAAAATTCACTTTTAGGTTCTATTGCTGAAACATAAAATTAAAAATAATCAGTGTGTTTAGTTTGAGTTTTCTGAATTAAGGCCAAGTTTGGCAACTCCAAAATAATCCATCTTTTTATCTTTTTTCTATCACATCACCTCTCTACTTTTCTGCACATCTTTTCATAAAAAGATAAAAAGTGCACTTAGGTGGTGTTTGGCAAGTTGGGTTGGGGCTAAAATAGCCACAAAAGACAAAACAGGCTATTTTAGCCACAACAAACAAAACATCACATCCAACCCATAATCATTACACTCTTCTCTCACAAAAAAAATCCAAAAAGCCAAAAAGCCAAAAAGTCCTTCCCAAACCAAACTTTTTAGCCCAGGCTAAAATAGCCAAAAAAGCCAAAAAGCCAAAAAGCCAACCCACTTCCCAAACGGAGGCTTATTTAGGTCATTCCAAACAACCCCTAAGTTTTTTAAAAATTGAGTTTTTTTATTTTCGTTTTTTTTTTGTTTTTAGTGAATATTTTTAAAATTTTAAATATTTTTTTTACTTTTTTAGATGCACCTTATTTAGATGTATCTAAAAAGTAAAAAATTTATGAAAAAATATTTTAAAAAATTAATAAATACATAAAAATACAAAAAAATTACTGAATTCTTATATATTTTTTTGTATTTTTGGTATTTAGTGAATTTTTAAAAGATTTTTTTAATAATTTTTTTACTTTGTAGGTGTATTTATGTTAAGTGTGTCTAAAAAGTAAAAAAATTGTTTAAAATATTAAAAAAATTCAGTAAAAATAAAAAAACACGAAAAATAAAAAAATAGAATTTTTTGAAAAATGAAAACAAGCAAGCTGAATAATTTTAAAGTTCACTAAAAACAAAGACAAGTTCAAAAAAATTGACCTTTTGTCTTTAGTAATTTTTTGAAAGAAAATTTTACTTTTTAAATCCTTTTCAATTAGACAAACTTGAAAAATCAAAAATTTTGACACAAATCTAAATATTTTACTTAAGACAAAAGTACTCTAACACACAACTTTAATACAACTCACATAATAATAATAATAATAATAATAATAATGAGAGTAGGTCCGACTTACAACTGCAATGCAACACGAGGTCAAATTTTGTGGACTGCAAGACGGTCCTACACGTTTTATATATCACGAGTTGGAACGTGTGACTCAAGGTATAAACAATGCCGCACGTGCCAAAATAATAAAGAAAAAATGCCGCGCGTGCCAAAATAATAAAAAAATACTCAAAGTGAATCCATCCCCAAAAAAAACAAAAGGTTGTTAACAGTTATCAAAAATAAATAAGGGGTTGTTTGGGATGGCCTAAATAAGTGTATTTTTTTATCTTTTTATGAAAAGATGTGCAGAAAAGTAGAGAGATGATGTGATGAAAAAAAGATAAAAAGATAAAAAATGTGTACTTATTTAGGATAGCCAAGCTTGACCTACGCTGTTGATGCTTACCTGTATATCTCTTTTTAATTGGTGCCAACTGTTTTCACACACACATTAATTTCTTAAATTTTAAATAAGGGTAAGGCTAAGTTTGACATCTTTAAAATAATTTATCTTTTTAATTTTTTTCATCACATTATCTCTTTACTTTTATGTACATCTTTTCATAAAAAGATAAAAACTATACTTATTTAAATCATCCCAAACAACCCCTAAATTATATTGACACCTCTTGAAGTTTATGTTTAATATAATTTTTTTTCTCACCTTTTGAAAATTACATCCCCTCCCTGAGATTTAAAGTTTCATTACAGATTATCCATTGAGATTTAAAGTTGCATACCAGTTCCCCTCACCGTAATGATCATTATACATAAAATTAAATTAATAAAAAAATTAATATAATTATTCAAATATAATAAGAGAATTGTAATAAATATAACTATCAGGGTGCGGTGTAAATTACCCTTCAAATTTAAAGTTGGAGTTTTTCTTGTTTGCACCGTTAACCAGTTTCTTTGTTGGTTTTTTTGTTTTTCATTTTTGGTGTACAGTTAGAAAAAAATTTAAAAATTCACTTTTAGGTTCTATTGCTGAAACATAAAATTAAAAATAATCAGTGTGTTTAGTTTGAGTTTTCTGAATTAAGGCCAAGTTTGGCAACCTCAAAATGTATATGTCAAAAAAAATTGTGTCAATAAAAAATATATATTTTGTTTGATTTTAAGTTTTTAATCTGTATTTTTTTATTTTTAGTAAATTTTTTAAATATTTTATTCAATTTTTTAGATACACTTAAACTAAATATACTTAAAAAGTAAAATATTTATAAATAATTTTTCAAAATTTTAATAAATACAAAAAAAAAATGAAAATTTACTGATTTTCGTTTTGTTTCGTTTTATTTATTTATTTTATTTTTTAGTATTTAGTGACTTTTTAAAAAAAGAATTTATAAGTAATACACTTTTTAAGTGGATTTAAAAAATAAAAATTACAAAATTTTAAATTTTTTTAAAAAATATTGACTTAAAAGTAATTTTACTGTGACTCTCACTGGTCACTACTGATTTTTCCCTGCTACTCAGGCAAGAATTACATTGAACTTCTCCCAAGTTTTGAGGAAAATATAATAATTTTATAATTTTAATATAATTACATTGTTTTTCTTTTTAATATGACTAAATGAATCAAAATTAATACAATTAGTGTGAAGATACAAATTGCATGGGAAGCAAATATTTTTCGTTTCAGTACTTCTTCTGTCCAAGCTTTGTGTTTCTTCAAGCGATGTCGTATAACTTGAAAGCATAGCGACGGTGAGCTACCCAGCGAGTGTGTTGTCAAAAATCCCCTCTGACGGTCAACTTAGTACCCTTAGAGAGAGAAAGAAAACAAAAGTAAGGATAGCTCTAAGTAAGAGAAGATTGTAGACCTTTTGCATGAAGGCACTGCAGGGCTCATACAGCTTGTTCGCGCAGTATCTCTACCGTTATTTTCTAAATGCGCAACAGTACTATTATCTCTTTTCTTTACACATGTGCACGTCAATATTGCCAAACAGCGTTGGCCAAACTGCCAAACGGTATTGACGCGTACTCCAAGCTGATTCCTTGCCATACTCCATTGGGCCACGTGGAATGTCCTAGTCAGGTAATCAATTGTGAAATCCTTAAGTGTGCTCGCTCCACAAGTCTATACGCCGAGCTAATTCAAGTTGGTCTAAACCCAACCATCATCAAGACCGACTTAACTCTGTCCAGACCGCCGCAAGGGGCTTCCTTAGCCCAGTTCACTCCGTGATCCCACAGCTCGGTCAAACTTCGTGCAATTCTGAACGATTTAGTCCTGTCTATCACTAAGGTGCCAACCTAGCTCGACTACGATCCTTGCCTCGATCAAGGATAGCGTTCTCATTCTACCTAGCCTGACCCACAACTCAAGCCCATCATCTAGCTTGGTCCTAACATCCAAGATATATGTAGCTCGGTAGCTAGGTCAAGAGCAAGGCTCATATTAGATTTTGCTTGGCCCATTTGTTTGGCAAAAATCTCCCTCTCACAAACATAAATAGGGAAAAATATATTTTTTTTAACCAAATATATACATATATATATTAGGATAAAATAAATGATAACATTATTTTTTTTAATTCATAAAACTAACAGATTATTGATGAAAATGAGTTCAGTGTCATATGAATTAAAATTTTAAAATAATCTAATGTAATTATGTTAAAATTATAAAATTTACTACGTTTTCTCGAAATTTCAAGAATACACGATTTAATTTATCCTAAAATTTAAGGACAATATCATTCAAATTAAAGTAATAGAAATAAATGTAAAATTTAAATGGGTAAATTATGGTAAACCCCTTTAAATTATGGCATATTGACATGTTGTCCCATGAATTTCAAAACTCAATAGTTAATATTCTCAAAGTATTAATTTATTACAATTAACTCTTGTTTTTTAGGATTTTGTTAGAAATTTATAAAAAAAAATTTGCAGATCATGTTTAAAAAATATAACACATTTATTAATTTTTTAAGACAATAATATATCCTTATTTGATCCCGTTTACACTTTATTATTATCAAATAAGCTACAAAAAGCAAATAAAATCATCAAATAAGAATATTACATCTTAAAATAATAAATAATGGATATTATTATTTTAAAATTTTAATAAATATATCATATACTTTATACATGATTTAATTTCTTGTAATAAAATAATATTTTAAAAGAATTAACTGAATTTTAAAATTTAAAAAAATTAAATATAAATATATTATAGTTTAAAGGGAATACTGTTATTGACTCAACTGAAATCAAACAATGGAAATGACAAAATATAGTTTTATTTTTTGTAAATTTTTAAAATGAAGTCGGTGGAGAGGGGGTGACCGGCTAGAGCGGGTAGATTGAGGCCGTTAGAAGTCGTACTAGTGGGGGAGGGTATACAGGCTGGGGAAGTGACAGAGTGTGTCAGTAATAATTCCCGTCGTCTCACTCTCTCTCTCTCTCTCTGTATCCAAGCAACCGTTCTTTGTCGTTTTCCCTCACCCCAAACACATATTTCAGTAGTACCTTCCGTATCAAATTCTCAATCCTTACTTTTCTTTTCTTTTCATTTATGTGTTTTTCTCACTCTCCGAGGTCTATTTTGAAAAGGAATAACGTTACATGTCTCAAAAATTTTATTA